TATATATATATATATATACAGTTTTAGAATAATGTTTGTAGAATAATGAGTTTTTGCTGTATTCTTTTATTTTTAGTGTAGCTGGTTAAATTTAATTTTAAGAAGTATTTAGCACACCTTTTCCGTGTTTCATATGTTTTGATTATTTATTAAGACAATATCTGTTAAACTCTAGGCTGATTAGTAGGCCTGTTAGCTAAGGCAATTATTAATGTTATGATATTATTTATCTATATGTCAACTAGGCAATATCTGGCCGTTTTGAGATTGGCATCAACCAATAAAGTGTCCTCTTACTCTGTTACATAGTATACAAATATAGAATATGTCCCGTTTTAGTCCAAAAATGAAATATTTTGAAAAATATTATGCTATTTCATTATGCTTTTGATTAGTATATTTATTTATTTATTGTGAGATATTGTTACAATCTAAAATGACTGTTTTGTATTTAAATATATTTTAGTTTTGAATTTATTCCCGTGATGCAAAGCTGAATTTTCAGCAGCAATTAATAATTCAAATCAATGTTGAAAACAATTTGATTTATCGTCACTTTTGGTCAATTTAATGGATCCTTGCTCAATAAACAAAACAAAACAAAAAACACTGAACTCAAACAGTAGTGTTCTTTATGTAAGAGGAACTTTAATGAGCCACAATTGTTAAGAACTATAATCAACATTCCCGTTCCCCCTCAATAAATAATTAGGAGGCATGCTGATGCTTTTTGATGTTGTTGCCCAATCTCAGACTCTGTGTACCGACCGTATGAAAGTCACAGCAGTCATTCGTTTAGCTGGAGGTGCCAGTAACCTCATCCACACTCAGCAGCAACTAAACATCTTCTTTGATCATGTGCTCCAGGAACAACAGGCTTTTTCAGTCTGGCAGACGCTTTGGGCTCGGGCTTTTGTTAGGAATGTGTTTCTGCTGAGCTACTGTTGGTTTAGGTAGAGCATCAAACAGCCGAAGGGATTGTGTATTCATAAGACACGATCAGATGGGCTGATACTGAACGCAGCACAAGACGTCTGCAAGAAGGGAGCCACTGTCCTTGTCTTCTCCTCATGATGAGAGCTTGTGTTTTTGGGGTTATTTAGTGTCATCAGAGATTGAGCCGCTGGGTGAACGATGTTTACTGACCCACTTGCATTTTAGTCATAGATGGGGTTTAATTGCTCACACATTCTTTCTGTCTGGCACCATCTGTTCATTTAGAAAGATGAAATTCCACAGGCTGCTAAAGGATATTCACCCTCAACTCTGTGTTTGTCCTCTGTTGTGTCTATAAAAACTGTGCCGGATTAAAATCTTTATGTAGGGCAGAAGGCAACATGAGGGTGAGCAAATGATTACAGGATTTTAGTTTTTTTTTAATGTACTGAATCTGATGATATAGGGATGCAAGAGTATTAGTGATAGATCTTCATGTCAGCTAGGCCAATATTTGGTCGAATTGAGATTAGCGTCAGCCAATAACTTGTCCTCTTGCTCATGTACCAGTTGCATACTAATGCCAGTATATGGAGGTTAGCCAGCCAATGATATAAATAGAAATAAAATGTTGCACAAATGCAAAATAGGGCCCCTTTTAGCCCAAACATACACTGCCATTCAAAAGTTTGGTGCCTTTTTTTATTTACTTTTTTTTATTATTTAAGATTTTCTTTCTTTTTATTTAAATACTTTGATATATGAATACTTTTATCTAGCAAGGGCACTTTAAATTGACCAAAAGTGACTGTATAGACATTTAGAATTTTACGAAAGGTTTGTATTTCAAATAAATGCCTCTAAGAATCCTGAAAAAAACTAACTCTTTCCACAAAAAAAAAATATGAAGCAGCACAACTATTAATAATAAATGTTTCATGAGCAGCAAAGCAGCATATTGTATTGACCCCAAACATTTGAATGGTTGAGTAGATTAGGCCTATATCTGCACTTTTACGGCACTTTTACAGTATTCCTTTTGTTAGAAATATATATGTGGATTAAGTTTTTTTTTTTGTGCAGGGAGATCCAATTTACAAATGATTCTTTCATTAGAACTGATTCTTCTTTATGATTCGGTCAAACTGATTCACAAAGCATTTATTGATGACTTTGTTCAGTTTAGAAGTTTTTAATATTGGGGGCATTATTGTTGATGAATAAATAAATATCTTTATAACGAACTGTAAATGGCAGAACAGGTGAAAATCTTAAACAGTGTATTAAACAGCAATTTTACAAATGAATCAATTTTCAGTTTGTTGTGGCCTTCAATCCAAAACTGTCATTCAGATTTGATGATCAGTATCTTTTGCAGATACTTGTGACTGTCCAACTTTTTTTGGTTGTGTGTCCTTATAATTCTAACCTAATTTGATTAAATTGTGTATGGTTACAACCTCATGTACTTGAATTGTTTTGTATAGACACTAGTCTAATTTTGTTGTGTGTTTGTGATGGGTTTGCTCTCATTTTATATTTGAGTATGTGCATCGATGCATGGTTAGTCTTATACGTGTTTTCTGATTTCACAGATTTCACAGTACATTTGGACTCTTTCCGTGTTATTTCACGGTCAGGCCTGTTGATGGCTGTCTAAAGCTTTAGAGAGAGCATGTGTGTTTTGTGTGCATTTGTGTGTGTGTGTGTGTGTGTGTGGCATGTGCCCAGCTGTTCCTTTGCATCTGCCTGCCTTCACTTTGGTATTTGTGCCTTGAGATGTTTCAGAGGGAGACGTTTATGCCGTTTTACAAACACTTTATCCTTTTATATCCTGTAAAAGTTTTAATTGTGGAATTAACAGACTGATATCAGATTTATAGGGGCCAGAATGTCATAGAGCAGAGGTGCCAAATCTTTTACGACAAAAGGCCACAAGTCAAACTTGATTGAGAGCTGTGGAATGAAAGTAAATGTTGCATAATATCCAATTATATTAGGGATGTAACGATTCACTCAACTCACGATTCGATTCGATTCACGATTTTGATTTCATGATTCGATTCGATTCTTTCGAAATTTGAAGCAAAAACAGAATGGTTTGACTTCAGTTTTGTGAAACTATAAATAAAAATATCTGCATGAAACAGCAAAGCTGAATGAGATGCAGATTCACTCTCTGCCAGCAGGTGGCGCTTAAACCGTTTCCTGGTTTCTGCTGTAAACAAAGCAGCGCTGAACTTACGAACTTTAATATGCATTATACAGAGGCAAGAGGAAAAGAAAAAATACCATCTAAACTTTTCTAAAGACAGTAAGTTCCCCTCAGACATACATACATACAGACATAAACTCCTACCCCTAAATGAATCGCGATTTGTTTAGCATCTCAACCGATTTGAATCGTCACATGTTTGAATCGATTTTCAACCGGCTCGCGGTTAATCGTTACAACCCTAAATTATATTATATTAAAATGTAAATTTCTTGAAAAAAAAAAATCGATTCTCTACATTTCAATGGACAAATAAAACAAAAAATGTTAAAACAAAAAGATAAATTAGGATAAATTATAATATTATATTTTTTCTAGTATTTCCCTAGTTCGGGCCGCAGGCATGACTTGGCCAAGTAATCAACCACATAGAAATGCGCTAAAATGTAATATTCAGTGACAAAGTGACATTTTTGTGTCAAATCTTTTTTACCCTATATATAGTGCTATCAGTTACTAATTAATTGTGCATTTTTCTGTAATTAACCATGATTAATCGCACCTAATGTTAAAATTTGTAGTCATAATTGTATTTTCACACTGAATCTCCAAATTAATTTAGAAACAACATAAAGACCGTATATTTTAATTGTATATTTGTTTAATGGCATCTTATTACTAGGGATGCACAGAATGTTCGGCAACCGAAATTATTCGGCTGAAAATAGCAAAAAAAGCTCTTTCGGTGTTCGGCCGAATAAGCGAAAAGACCGAATAAATTGTACCGAACAATGACGTGACGTGATCAAATAGCAACCAGCGCAGAGTGAGAGGCCTGCACTCTTTATTATGCAGCACACACGTCAGCAGAGTGGAAGCATTTAAACTGTCGGAGAAAGACGCAAAAATCATTACAAGCACCGACAGCTAGTGAAAGTGAAAGTGAAAGTGACGTGACGTGGCCAAGTATGGTGACCCATACTCGGAATTAGTGCTCTGCATTTAACCCATCCAAAGTGCACACACACAGCAGTGAACACACACAAACCGTGAACACACACCCGGAGCAGTGGGCAGCCATTTATGCTGCGGCGCCCGGGGAGCAGTTGG